GATACTGTACATGACGTCCTCCACCCCAGAACGTTTCCGCCGTTCATTTGGTTTTGAGGGTGTGACAACGGCCAAGGGACTTGATACTATTTTGGTTATCATGGATTGTTTGACTAAGAGTGCCTACTTCATTGCTATTTGGGAGAGCACATCGGCCGAGAAATTAGTTGACATCTGTGTTAAGGAGGTTGTGGCTTGCCATAGGGTACCTACTTTTGTAGTCTCATATCGATACGGTCGGTTTACTTCCAGGTTTTGGAAGAGGTTCCATAAGGAGTTGGAACCAGACTACATTTTTGTATGACATACCATCCACAAAAAAATGGCCAGAGTGAGAGGATTATTCAGACTCTCGAGGATGTGTTCAGAGCCTGTGTCATTGATTTTGGTGGGAGTTGGGACTCCTACCTTCATTTGGCTGAGTTTTCCTATAACTACAACTATCATGTCAACATTGGTCATAACTAAATTGGTCAAACTCAACACTAAATTAATATAACTTTATTGAATAATAGTAAAGTCCTTTTTGGATTTCCCTCATAATCAGAAATAACTAGAATTAATATTAGGATAGAGAGGAAATGATTTGTTAATTTATTATGCGATTAATAAATTAATTAGAAATAGTTAATAATTAATAATGAATTAATTAGAGATAGACAAAATTAATTGTTAATCAGAATTAATCTGGAAATAATCTGGGATTAATTGGAATTAATTAAAGGTGTAAGTGGTGAATTGTAATTTTTCAATAGTTAAATGAAAGAAGCAATTCTAGAACCCTCCATGGTATGGACGGTTTTGGAGGAGTCTTTAGGGTTTCCAGAAGTCTCCTGGTTGTAGATAAGGAAAAGATTTGAACTAAGATTAAATTTAGTATTCAATTAGTTCAAATCTGGTTGTGTCGGAAAGTTACCTAAACTATAAATAGGATCCATTGGCTCCCTATTTTCGTGACTTTTACCTTACACAAGATAGAGAATGAAATTCTCATTATCTCTCTTATCTCCTTCTTCATTATAGGGTTTCTAGCGTTTTAGATGTGAGCCATTATAGGCATCATAGTTTTGGTGCTAGCTTTCTGAAGCAGATATATGAGGATTTTAAAGTGTTATATACGATTATAACACAAAGGTATCCATTCCGTTTTATAAATTTTTTTATACCTAGGGTTTATGATAGTTTCAATTGTATGTTGCTATAGTGTGTAAAGATAGATCTATAGGTTGCATGTGCCCATAATTAGATTATGTATTTATTATTTTGTGTAAATATGTTTAATGTAACCTATAAAACCCATCAACACCGAGATGGTTCTCAAGATGATTGAGCTTATTCATCAGGTTAGACAGATATTGCTGACAACTCAAATCCGACAAAAGAGCTATACAGAGCGACGTAGTTCAGAGTTGGAGTTTCAGGTCGAGGATTTGATACTTTTAAAAGTATCCTCGTAGAAGGGTTTCATTCATTTTAAGAAGCGGGGAAAGCTAGGCCCCAAGTTTATTTGTTCGTTCTGAGTTATGGCTAGGGTGGGCAAGGTGACTAACCGATTGGATCTACCGGAGGAGCTCAGTCAGATCCATAACACTTACTATGTTATGCAATTAAAGAAATATGTGAGCGACGAGTCCACTATTGTCCCTTTGGATGATATTCAGGTTGATGATTGCCAGAATTATATGGAGCGACCGATGGCGATTCTTGACAAGAAGACGAAGGCCTTGAGAAACAAGTTAGTGCCTTAGTCAAGGTGTGGTGACATTACCAGAAGGGCTTAGAGTAGACTTGGGAGCCCAAGGCGGATATGTGCGACAACTAATCGGAAATATTTTTAACTGAGGGTTTCGAGGGCGAAATCTAGTTGAAGTGGGGGAGAATTATAACATATGTCTTAGATAAATGATTCATTTATGTTTTCGAAAATTAAAAGAAGTAATGTGGGTTTTGTGATGACCCCGATGTGGTGAAGGATACACCACGACGTGGTCATGGCCTTATAAAATGCGCATCATTCTTATGCACCATGAAGTGGCAAGGTTATGGCCATGACATTGTCGTCGCAAGAGTGCAAACCCTATTTTTCCAAGTTTTGGGCTTTATTTAAGGGATGTGATGGCTAGGGTTTTCACATCCTCAGCCTCCATCACCTCCCATCAGTCTTGAAGAAACCCTAACCTCAATTTTTGACCTTGTGAGATCTTGGTGGTGGTTTTAGCCTCTTAAAGAAGAAAAATGTGTTCTTGGTGCATTTTTCCAGCAAGTGAACCTTTCCCTCGCCATCTTGTGTAGCTTTTGGACCCTTGTAAGTTCTCAATATTCTACCTTTCATGTCCAAGCATACTAGATCAAGGTTTTTGTCCATTTTCCTCCATGTTTGAGGTGGTTAGAGTGTGGAGATTTCATAAAGTTGTCAGCTTTATGAGTCCTTAAGATTCCTTTCTGGCCTCTTGTCCTAGATCTGGAAAGTTATTGAGTTATGAGTTGCATGCATGAGCTCTTAATCTCATTTTCACCATTTTGACCTAGTTTGAGCTCAAGACATGCATTGGACATTCATATCTATAAAGCTGCGATTTTTATGGAGTATTAGGAGTAAGAAAGCCCTTTGGAAAGTGCTAATGAGTTGCTTAAAGTATTAAGGGCTTAATGCATTAAGAATGATCTGTGCATCGCCCACGATGTGGCATGTTTATTCCACGATGTGGCGATAAACATTCCCCATGACTGTTTTGGCTTAACGCTGCCATAGCGTGGCCTTTGGGTGTCTACAACGTGGGGATCAGCTGGAGCCGACATTGACCGTTGACTTTTACCATTGACATTTTTACCGTTATTGACTTTAGTCAACTTTAGGGTTTTAGGGTGTAGACTGAGAGGGTGCTTATATATTTTATTTAGGTGCCTCATAGTACCGGTCTTCATTATCAGAGAGTTGTTGTGTTAGTCTGTTGTTTGCGAGGTGAGTCTTCTCGCTATATTACCTATATCATAGTATGGTGCGTGCTACACTAGCCGAGTCTTATTTGTTGTTTGTTGTTATATGTGTTTATTGAGTTGCTGATAACTCCAAGACTTCTGATAGTCCACCGGGTTGTTGTTAACCCCGTAGGGTTGCTTTGAATGCGTAGGACCACTTATAGTCCCCAGGATTGCTAATAATTTTAGGGTTGCTGATAACCTATAGTTGTTTATTATGTTGTGTTATATGTGATATTTTGGGGAACTCACTAAGCTTTGTGCTTATAGTTTTGGATTTAATGTGTTTCAAGTACTTCAGATGATCGTGGGAAGGCGAAGGCTTGACTGTACACTCACATCGACAATTTTTGTGATTTAGCTTTTTATGACACTCTGATTTTTGGGATGACTGTATTTTGATGCTTATTGTTTTTTTATTTAGCTTTTCTTGGAAACAATGAGTTTACTTAATTTAAAAATGAAAATTTGGTTGTGAAAATTTGGATGTTACAATAATAAATAGAAATCAACCAAAAAATAAAGAAAGAATATATTGGTCATTCTAATATAACTTAACATATGTTGAATGTACGAACCAAATCTACACAATGATTTTTTTGGATCAATGATGTAAGTTTGAAAGTTTTTGGATCTTATTGACCAATAGTTACAGTTTAGTCTTAGAATAAATAAATATAATCGTAAACATTATTTAGTGTTAACGTCATAAAAGCTCTTAAGTTTGCAACTTTTTGTTTGTTTACCTAAGTCGTTTCTTTTCTATTAATGCGTGATATTTGCCAAGTTTTTGTCATGTATACCTTTTAGCAAGTCAAACTGGTAACACCTCCCACATGCTTGCCTCGTTGGTAGTGATCTAGCTTAAGACTAGCTTAAGACTAACGTTGACATTCCATGTCTAACATGTTTTACTTTAATTAAAGAACAAAGGCTTTTAGAGAAAGAAAAGGATGGGAGCAAATATCAAAAACAGTGATCTCCAACACAACAACCAAGCCTTTTGAGAAAACCATTTTGACATTAGTGAAGCGGTTTGTTTATACTTGAATACTTAATATTTAAAGTATTATCTTGACGTAATTGTATATTTGTAAGAATATATAAATGAAAACTTAACAAAAACATTTATATTAAACGGGAAAGAAAGACAATTAGAAAATGATGGGGGAGGCCGGTAGATCCCACATGATTACGTGGTGAGTTAAGAAAATAAAATGAATATATGGTTTTTAAAATAAAAGTGGGAAATGGAAACTCACACAGCAGTAAAGTATGGACCGAAGATGACACATCAAACATTTTATGAGCCGCACCTTAATTTAAAAAGTAATAATTTTTTTTTTTCAAAACTGTTAATACTGCTTGAGATTTTTTGAGGGATAACAATGTGTTGAAATCCGCCACCGATGGTGGTGGTGGATGTTGTTGAAAGAGGTGACCGGTAAGATTTGGCAAACTCATAACCATAAACCATCCATGTAGGCTTCATACATGACGAGGGTGACCTGCAAAACCTAAAAGCTACAAACTTTTTTTTTTCTTTCACAAATATAAGACATTAATGGACACAAAAATCAATTTAAGATAAAATTAACAACATATTAAGACTTTCATTATTATTTATAATAAAATGATTATTATAAATAAAAAGAATATAATAGCCAACAAGATGATAACGATATATATGGCGTGACACGGCTAGGAAAGTTGGAAAGCAGTAACTTGGTGACCAAGCTTCACGTGTTGTATTTCACGCGTCATCGCTTATTAAGCATCTATGTAATAAAACCTATCCATTTTCCTGTTTATATTTTAATACACAAAATAATTAGTCAATTCCACAATCAGCGACTATTAAGCCTCTCCACTCGCCACCCTTCTTTATATATACCCTTTCCATCCACTCACCTCTCCATTTTCCTCCATACCCACACATCAAAACCCCCATTTCCAATCTCTCTCCCTCTAAACATTTTCATCTCCAAAACTTTCTCTTCAAGACTCAAAAACGGTGTTAAATGGGTGCTTGTATGTCTTCCGGTGGCGATTCCGTTACAAATAGATCCAATTCCGCTCTCGTCATCTCGCCTAAGGGTGAATTACGACGTTATTCTTCTCCTGTTTTTGTTTCCGACGTTCTTCAATTGGAAACTGACGGAGCTGCTTCTTCTTTCTTCGTTTGTAACTCCGACAATTTGTCTTACGATGAGCATATCAGAGCTTTGGATTTAGAAGACGAACTAGATGCTGGTCAGATATATTTCGTTTTACCTGTTTCCAAACTTCGGGAGCGTTTGAGTGCTTCTGAGATGGCGGCAATGGCAGTCAAGGCTAGCGTCGCGCTTAATGCGAAAGCGACTTATAAAACGATAACGCGTAGTGGATCGCTTTCTAGATCTAAAGCTATGAATAGTCAGAAAAGGAAGAACAAATCTAAGATTTCTCCTTTTGTGGTGATGGAAACGAGTAAGATCAATGTGATTGTTGATCAGGAAGAGCAGAATAAGCGATTGGTTGAGAGTAATTATAAGCAACAGGCTTCGAGTTTAGGAGTTTCCAGATCGGGATCGATACGGAAATTGCAGAGATATTCGTCTAGGAAAGCTCGATTGGCTGTTCGATCTTTTAGGCTTCGTCTGTCTACCATATACGAAAGTGAATCTTCTGATCATTCTCACAAATACTATTGAACAGTGGATTCGATGCTTTATAAATTTTTATTATCTTTTTTTGTTGGCATAATGAAATCCGTTTATATGTATATATACTTAGACTGAGGATTGAATCCATGCATGATTAATTGAAGTTTATTGGCATAATTTTTTTGCATCAAAAATAAAATTTTGAAATTGTTATTGATATCATGTAGTGAAACGTGAAAGTTACAAAATTTCTTTGTGAAGATATGTCTTTTGCATCAGATATAAAGTTGATCCAAGCTACACGTGTTGTATTTTATGTATACTCACTGATCTGTGGTAAAAAACGGAAGAAGGATTAGGGTTTATGTTTGTTTGGATTAACCTTTTCTCCTTCAGATCCAATGTAAATAGTGCATGATATTAAGAAATAAAACGAATGAAGAAAGTTCACAACATAAAATTCATATAATAAAGATAAAAAAAATATGCAAATACCATCAACTTAACACACTAAGAGACAAAGTAGTATCATTGACATATGTAGTTAAAGAATAAACTTTAATTTACTTTTAGTGGATTATTATTAGAAATGACTTATAAGTCCGTTAATAAAGTTTTCAAACTGTTTAAAAAACTCCACTTATTTTTTGTCTATCCAAAAAAACCCTACGAACTTAATATTTTTTTTCTAAAAAATCCCAACTAACTTACACTTTTGTTCAATTCTCATTAGGGTTAACCGACTAATGAAAGTCAACGTGTGACATGTCTTATGACGTGGAATTAAATATTGGGAAAATGACTTGTAAGACCAACGAAGTTTTAAAACCATTCAAAAAATCTCAATTATGTTTTGTCTGTTTAAAAAAACTCAACGTACTTATGCTTTTGTCTAACGAACCCAATGAAACTTACGCTTTTGTTCAATTCTCATTAGAGACAACCATATTCATTAGGTATATAATCAGTTGACAAATGACATGACATTATATTTAATGACATTGAATAAACATATTAGAATTTCCCTTTATATATCAATTTAGGTCTTGGATAAGAGAAAAAACGAATGCTTTATGTGTTCGATATCTTGTGATGGCTACTTTTTCTTCTTCCTCTCAATCGTTGATGTCCAACTCAAGATCTACAAAGAAGATATTTGATGATGCAAACCCTTGTAGATGTGGACGCCCTTCTCGGATTTGTACATCTAAAATAGAGGATCATCCAGAGAAAAAGTTCAAGGCTTGTTCGAACATATGGATAATTGTAATTGAAAATTTTATCATCTACATCTAAATAAGTTCTTGTGTTTAAGGGGACCAAAAAAATAGATAGAAGATGGACATGATAAAAGATTTCAATTACACTTACCCATTTATTCGAACAAGTCCTGAACTTTTTCTCTGGGTGAACCTCCGACGTCCAAATCCGAGAAGGGCGTCAACATCCACAAGGGTTTACATCATAAAGTATATTCTTGGTAGATATTGAGTTGGACATCAATGATGAGAGGAAGAAGAAGTAGCCATTACAGGAGAACGAATACAGACGTCGTTCATTTTTTTCTTCTCCAATCCCTAACTCGATATATAAAGGGAAATTCTAATCTGTTTATTTTATGCCATTAAATATAATACCATGTCATTTGCCAACTTATTGTATACCTAATGAATCTGGTTGCCTCTAATGAGAATTGAACAAAAGCGTAAGTTCGTTGGGCTTTTTTGAATAGACAAACCATGATTGGGGTTTTTTAAACGGTTTCAAAACTTCGTTGGTCTTAAAAGTCATTTTCCCGATATTTAATTCCACATAATAAGTCATGTCTTTCGTTGACTTTCATTAGTTGGTTGATCCTAATGAGAATTGAACAAAGGTTTAAGTTAGTTAGGCTTTTTTAGGCAAAATGTTAAGTTCCTTAGGTTTCTTGAACAAACAAAACATAACTGAGGTTTTTTGAATAGTTTGGAAACTTTGTTGGGCTTATAAGTCCTTTTCCCTTCTTCATACACAACATTTTGATGTTATGTTCGTTATATTATACAATGGTTATAAAGTCACAAAATATTAATGTATTTTTTTATTTGTACGTTATATATTACCTAACTTTCTTTCATACAACATTAGTTAAAATCATTGCATAAAATTCACTCGATCATTTTGGACTAGTTTTTATGTTGATATAGTATTGACCCGACACGATCCTAGTCATTGTTTTCCTCAATATGGTCTTCAATATTGGGTTTTGAAGTGATCAAACCTTTGAACTATTTTCGAAAAATGAGCATGTTAACCAAAAAGCAAGACAAGCTAGCTTTGATAAACTATTATCGCGATTCATCTATAGCAAAAACAAGTTGACACAAAGCTTTTATTACTTTCAAAACACATAACATAACATTAAACTAAGAAACCGGTTTTAGTCCCACAAAAAGAGTTGGGAAATAAAATTCTAAAGTGAGGTCCCTTAATCAAATATGAGCATATTTTGTTGGAATATGTGCATACAACATGAATGTTGATATTAATTACTACACGTTATATAAACCTGGTGGGTCACATAAGTAAGGCGAGTAGTAAACAATTTCATTTCTCCCAATAATCACTTAAACATTATACTATGCATTGTGATATCGCTAAAACCATATGTAGAATTCATCCCTATGTCAATTGGAGTGCATCTCGATATAAGTATATTAAGAAAATACCATGTGATGTTAGAAATTAAGGGATCAAGATAACAATAAATACAAACTTTGGATAGATTTAAGGATCGTGTTTATCAAACACTTTTCGAAATCTGTAATTCGTTTATTTCTCGGGGATACACGAATTCAAAAGTAGGATAATCCAAGAATAAACCAATCTGAATTTCAAACCTAATTCATAATGAGAAACACAAAATATCAAATGATTTTTGCGGGAAAATGCATGGCTGGAGTCGTATCCGAGGTAAAAATCCATTTAGGTCAGCGGAACCACCGTGAAAGGCTCTGCCCCTTGGACCCCGCTAGGGGTGCATCTGCAGTTAGGGCACTGCCCCGGGCCCCCCGTATTCCCGAGTTCATATTTATCACTTCGAGTATGCACCCAACAACTCCTATCTCGGTTAGTAAATGGAGTTCGACCTACCTCATTATTAATAATAATTACAATATGTGCTTGTGATTGAATATCTTATTGTCTTATGGATGATCTTGTTCGTTCAATTTTGAGTTTTCCTTCGACAGATTGTTTAAAATTGTTATGATTGACTTGTATCCCTAAATGCTAGTTGATGTTATTTAAAATCTAAAAAGGAGAAATCATTTTACTCATGGTAGTTATATAAACAAATATAAATATGTGTTCATTTGTAAATATGCCCGATATTTAGTTATTTACTATAAATGATTACAAGTAATAATAATTAAAATAAACATGTAATCATTATAAATAAGTGAACTATGATTAAATTAAAATATTTTTCCTTGACAATGGCATATAGTGGTAACCGAAATACTTTTCTTTTATATATATATATATATATATATATATATATATATATATATATATATATATATATATATTAGTTTTTTATATATATTAGTTGCACACTGAAAACATATTTTGTGCCATTTTACAAAATAAAAAAAAATAAAAATAAAAACACTTTTAGTAGTCATTACAAATAATTGTGACTAAAAGTATTTATATGCTTTGCAGAAAGATTAAGAAAAAGCACATTAATAATCAAAAGTGATAAATTACCTTGATTATAAAATCCTAGATTTTTTTTTTTTTTTTGTCTATAAAGTACAAAACTTTTTATTAAAAAACTATTGGTTTTAGAATACTTGTAAATCTAAAAAGAAGTTCGGATAGGATTCAATCATGGCCGGGTACCAATACCATATGTGGATGTGTAGTTTGACTTTTAGCGGTGTTGCATATTATGTTCACATGTAAGTTGTAATTTGTATTCATTCATGAACCTTGGTCAATATTTATATAACGGCCCGTGTTTTCAAATGAAAAGTCAACTCGTTTTTCCTCTTTCCTTTTCTGGTTTAAAATTAGGAAAAAGTAATTTGAAATTAAGGTTTTCAAAACTATCCTCATCAGCAAATTAGATTTCATTCAACTCAATTATCTATTAAAAAATCAACCTAATTATATATTAAAAATTTAATTTCTATTTGTTATATCTACAACTCAATTAAACACAATCTTTTTACACCCATGAACAAAACAAAATTACAAGATTGATCAATGTGGTATTCAAAAAACTTTAGATTGACTCCAAATTTTTTTACACATACATAAAAATTCAAAATCAAGGTTTTTCCGTGTTTTTAGTTCCTAGACAACTTGAAAAGTTACAATTTTCAATTTTTTTATTTTTTAAATCTATATTAATACATTTACAATTTAAAAAATTAAAAAATATCTATGCACCCGTAAACCCTTCACCCCCTCTCTCTTTTTGATTTTTTCCCTCTCTTTGGCTCTCTCTCTCCCTCTCTCTCTCTCTCTCTCTCTCTCTCTCTCTCTCTCTCTCTCTCTCTCTCTCTCTCTCTCTCTCTCTCTCTCTCTCTCCACCGCCATTGTTGTCTCTATCTCTTCTCTGCACTGCAACCTGCAAAACTCACCTCCGTTCTAAATGTATGAGAATGAGAGACCATTCAAATTGAAGCCAAAATCAAACTAACAAAAAATAAACCCAGAACCATGTTCATGTTCTTCACAACCACTGATCAAATATAAAAAAATAATAATAAATAAATAAACGCTTCGCACATAGATACACATACATGCAACTAAAAAAAATACCTGCAAGTCTAAAAAAACAAAACCTACCTTCCCTTGTACCTCTCTTATGCAAACGAAAGAAATATAACAATATTCATCTTTATTGGATAATCGAAAATTACAAAAACAAATACATCAACAGCCCTTTCATAACCATGAACAGTAACACAAATGAAAAATCATACATTCGAAAACTCAATTCGACTAGTTTGCATTACCTTCCCATTTCAAAACTCACAAGAATTGATAAACAAAAT